GGCGTTGTAGTCTGTATTCTTTTGTTTTCTACTATTGAATGGTACTGTTTGGAAATATAAAGTCAGCCTCATTTACCCTGCTGGGTCCCTAACCCCAAAATAGATTGTTTATCTTATTTGCTTAGGTATCTAAAGGATTTTTTTTTTTCTCCTGAGCCTTAAAGTCTGGTAATTTTTCTAGGATATGTGTTGGTATTGGTAACTCTGTATCTTTTCCTAGGAACATAGTGAGCCTTCTATTTCTGGAAAGTTACCTTGAATTGTATCTTTGAGTATTTCTTTATTCTAATCCTTTGGTTCTCTTATTCACAATCTCCAGTTATATGTAAGGGGGGTCTTCATTATTGACCTCTGTTATGTTTACTACTTTTTCTTTACTTTTTTTTTTGAGGCCGAGTTTCACTCTTGTTACCCAGGGTGGAGTGCAATGGCACGGTCTCAGCTCACTGCAACCTCTGCCTCCTGGGTTCAGGCAATTCTCCTGCCTCAGCCTCCTGAGTAGCTGGGATTACAGGCACACGCCACCATGCCCAGCTAATTTTTTGTATTTTTAGTAGAGACGGGGTTTCACCATGTTGACCAGGATGGTCTCGATCTCCTGACCTCATGATCTACCCGCCTCGGACTCCCAAAGTGCTGGGATTACAGGCGTGAGCCACCGCTCCTGGCTTTCTTTACTTTTTAAAACTTCTTGCTCCTTTCCATTTTATTTGTTTGTTGAGACTCCACATACTATGAAATTCACTCTTACAACTCAGTGGTTTTTAGTATATTGACTGTTGTACAGCCATGACCACTATCTCATTCCTGAATTTAGTTTAATTTTACCTGCTTTTTTCAGTCTTGCTTTCTTTATCCCTTTCTCTCCTTCTCTGTATCATTGAAGCATATAATATCAGTTTGTTTCATAATTACTAGTATTAATTTCAGTCACTTCCTTAAGGGGATATCTGTCAGATTTCTTCATTGTACTGTTACTATTTTGTTTGTTCATAATCTGATATTTGATATCATTATCAAAGGCAATTGATAATTTGTGGGGAAGCACTTTGTGACTACAGTATGTAAATATCCTGGGTTTTTTTGTTTGTGTTTTGTTTTTTAACGAAGTCTCACTCTGTTGCCAGGCTGAAGTGCAGTGGCACGATTTTGGCTCACTGCAACCTCTGCCTTTCGGGTTCAAGCGATTCTCTTGCCTCAGCTTCCCAAGTAGCTGGGGCTACAGGCATGTGCCACCATACCTAGCAAATTTTTGTATTTTTAGTAGAGACGGGGTTTCACCATGTTGGCCAGGATGGTCTTGATCTCTTGACCTCAAGTGATCCATCTGCCTTGGTGTACCAAAGTGTTGGGATTACAGGCGTGAGCCACTGTGCCCAGTGTGTTTTTTTTGGTTGTTGTTTCTGAGACAAGGTCTCGCTCTGTTGTCCAGACAGGAGTGCAGTGGCTTGATCTCTGCTCACTGCAACTCTGCCTCCCAGGTTCAAGCAATTGTCCCAGCTCGGCCTCCCCAGTGGCTGGGACTAAGGACATGTGTACCACCATGCTTGGCTAATTTTTGTATTTTTTCGTAAAGATAGGGTTTCACTATGTTGGCCAGGCTGGTCTTGAACTCCTGACCTCAAGTGATCCGTCTGCCTTGGCCTCCCAAAGTGTTGGGATTACAGGTATGAGCCGCCGTGCCCTGCCCAATATCCTGGTTTTCAACAAACTTACTCATTATTTTTAGCATCCATTGATAATTCTTAATTGAATCAGTTATTAACATGGTGATTGCCAAATGTAATTTTCTAACTCCTTCATTCCTTCTACATGTCAGTATGGCCTCATGTATTTTATTCTAATGGATATCATCCCTTGTTAGCGGTCTTCATTCACATTGACTTAGATGTGGCCAGTGGGAGCCCCATCCAGCTGGTTCCATTGTACTTTTTATTTGTTCCTATATTCCTTTTAGCATGTCCTGACTTCTAATGCAATAAAATGTTTCAGGTTTATCTTGCACTTTCCCTTTCCAATTCTGGAATAACCATATACCCAGGGAACTCTGATTTCTTTTAATGGGGAGTACTATTTAGAAACCTAGGACTGGAGCACCAGCTATGTTCATAGCATGGGAGTGTCACTGCTTCCAGCCTCCTGCTGGGTCTATTCAGAGTCCACTACAGTCATTCTATTTCTGTTTGCTGTAGACTATATTAAAGTTTCATTCTTCATCCCTTCCGTTTTCCTCCCTATAAATTAGCACCTTGAAGCATTCCTAGAGGTCACAAAAATCATTATATTCAGGCATAGAATGCAATTTTTGTATAGATAATGAATCTATGTTTGTGAAATTTGATTCTGCCCATCATCCACCTTTTTGCAAGGTCTTTTCCTATGAAAAGTGTGTTTTTGGTTTTGTTACTGTTTTCTGAGACAGAGTTTCGCACTATCGCCCACACTGGAGTGCAGTGGCACAATCTCCACTCACTACAACCTTCGGCTCCCGGGTTCAAGCGATTCTCCTGCCTCCGCCTCTGGAGTAGCTGGGATTACAGGCGCCCACCACCACGCCCAGCTAATTTCTTGTATTTTTAGTAGAGATGGGGTTTCACTGTGTTTGCCAGGCTGATCTCGAACTCCTGACCTCAGGTGATATGCCCGCCTTGGCCTCCCAAAGTGCGGTGATTACAGGCATGAGCCACTGTGCCTGGCCAATCCCTTACCTTTGCAGATGGAGAAACTGAGACCTAAGAACTGAAATGACTTAAGTCCATGACTAATTGCAGAGCCAGGTCTCCTAACTTCCATACTAGAACACTTTTGCTGCGGGTAGTGGAGAGAGCTTGGGTTGACGGTACCTGCCAGAAGTTTTCATGGTTGTTAGGTGGATATGGCACTCTTCCTTCTGTTTTGGCACTCAGGCATCCAGATGGGCATTAAATTTTTCCAATGATTTGTCATTTGATGACCAGGAAGGTAGCAGAAAAGATGGTGCAGACCAGCAGCTATTTGAGGATGTGTCGTTGTCCAACTAGACACCGAAAGGCCAGAATTCTAAGTAGTTTCAAAACTCTTCCTACCGGTCAGGCTCAGTGGCTGACACCTGTAATCCCAGCACTTTGGGAGGCCAAGGTGGGCAAATTGCGAGGTCAGAAGTTTGAGACCAGCCTTGCCAGCATGCTGAAACCCCATCTCTACTAAAAAAAAAAAAAATACAAAAAATTAGCCAGGCATGGTGGCGGGTGCCTGTAGTCCCAGCTACTTGGGAGGTGAGGGAGGAGAATTGTTCGAACCTGGAAGGCAGAGGTGGCAGTGAGCTGAGATTGCACCACTGCACTCCAGTCTGGGCAACAGAGCGAGACTCCATCTAAAAAATAAACAAAAGAGCAACAGCAAAAAAAACCCTCCTCCTACCTTTCATAGTTCCACCTACTGACTTTCTGCTTTCTTCAAAATGCTCTGTTGGCCAGGTGCAAGTGGTTCACGCCTGTAATCTCAACACTTAGGCCGAGGCAGGACGATTACATGAGGCCAGGAGTTCAAGACCAGCCGAGGCAACGTAATGAGGTGGGCCCCTGTCTCTACAAAAAATAAAAGCCGAGTGTAGTGGCATACAATACAGCTGTAGTCCCAGCTACTTGGGGGGCTGAGGCAGGAGGGTCACTTGAGCCTGGGAGGTTGAGGATGCAGTGAGCCATGATCATACCATGCATTCCAGTCTGGGAGGCAGTGAGGACTTGTTTCCAAAAAAAAAAAAAAAAAATCACAAAAACCAAAAAAGATACTGTTCTGTTGACAAATAGGGTCTGTTGGTTTTCTTTTTTAATATTTTCAGTTTAGCAGTATTTTGACACCAACATAGTTATATTGATACAAGTTTCTTAAAAAGTTAAATACAGATCTATCATATGATCCATTCCTGACTGTCTGCCCAAGAGCAGTGAAAATGTATGTCCACACAGAGACTTGTATGCAAACGTTCATAGCAGCCTTGTTTGTCATAGTCAAAAAGTAGCAACAACCCAGAGGTTTAGGAACTGGTGACTAGATAAACAAAATGTAGTTATTACTGTGGAATAGTATTTGCCCATAAGAAGAAGTGAAATACTGACAAGTTATAAAATGGATGAACCTCACAAACTTATCTTGAGTGACCAAAAGACCTTGTCATGATTTTACTTAGTTGAAATGTCTAGGAAAGGCAAATCTACAAAGACAGAAAGTACGTCAATGGTTGCCTCGGGCTAAAGTTGGAAATGAAGGAAAACTTGCAAATGGTCATGAGTTCTCCTTTTTGGGGTGATAGGAGTGTTCTAAAAGTGTGTTGTGGTAATGGTTGCACAACTCTGTTAATATACTAACAGTTATTCAGTTGCATGCTTACAGGCGAATTTTATAGTATGTACATTGTATTTCATAAAGCTTTAAGAAATAGTTACATTTAAAATTTGATGTCACATTTATCTTCTCCTGTGTTCATTATTAAACATTTTTATACTGCTTTCTTTCCACTTTTAAGTATGATTTTCAAGGAATGCTAATGTCAAATGATGTCAATGGTAACAGTAAAAATAGCTAGCATTTGTAAAACAGTTACTGTGCACCAGACATTATGCTAGGTACTTTTCAGGTTATCTCTCAATAGCATTGTGATATTGGTACTGTTATCCTTATTTTACAGCCAAGGAAACAGTCTCCTAGAGGTAAATAACTTGTCCAAAGTCACATAATACGGAGACAAGGAGAGAAGAATTGGAACCGAGTCATTCATAATTTCTATGCTCCATATGTGGATATGCAGTGGTTTTGGTGGAGGATTGTACTGCTTTTCATATGCTGTGACTGTGTTAAACACTCACGTATATATGCCACTGGGATGCATGCTCTGCATAACTATTTATGTGTGATCTCTCTAGGAAATTCAGATGGGCATTTGGTATTGCCTGTTTGCCATAGAGCTTGTAAAACATAGTGAATCTTACTATCAGTTTTATTTCTTTTTCTCTACTCCTCAGCCTTAATTTTAAAGACCCTGAAGCAGTCCGAGCTCTGACTTGTACTCTCCTAAGGGAAGATTTTGGACTTTCTATTGATATTCCATTGGAGAGACTAATTCCCACAGTTCCCTTGAGACTCAACTATATTCACTGGGTAGAAGATCTGATTGGTCACCAGGACTCTGACAAAAGTTCTCTCCGAAGAGGAATTGACATAGGTATATGGTCTTAAATTCGTTTTTGACTAAACACAGGTTTCATAAGTTTTGCATGATCAAGTTCTTTGTAAACTTTTTTACTGGGTATTTGTTGTTGTGTAAGAGAAACTGGCTGCAGGTACAGGTTGAGCATCCTTAATGTGAAAATCCAAAATGCTTCAGAATCTGAAACCTTTTGAACGTGGATTTGCTGCTCAGAGGCAATGCGTATTGGAGCTTTGCAGATTTTGGGGTTAGGGATGTTCAACCAGTAAATGTAATGCAAATATTTCAAAATCTGACAAAAAGAAACTGAAATCCAAAACACCTCTCATTTCAAGCATTTTGGATTAGGGATCCTCCACCTGTATTACTGTTCTTACTTACTCCACCTGGCCTTTTCTCTCATTGATTTCTCTTGAGAAGGGATTGTCCAAACAGGGAGCAGGAGGTTAAGGGAAGTACAAAACCAAAGTGAGGCTCTTGCCTGCTTAGCTTTTCATTTTCTTTCTTTCTTTCTTTTTTCTTTTTTCTTTTTTTTTGAGACGGCGTTTTGCTCTTGTTACCCAGGCTGGAGTGCAATGGCGCGATCCTGGCTCACTGCAATCTCCGCCTACTGGGTTCAGGCAATTCTCCCGCCTCAGCCTCCTTAGTAGCTGGGATTACAGGCACGCGCCACCATGCCCAGCTAATTTTTTGTATTTTTAGTAGAGATGGGGTTTCACCATGTTGACCTGGATGGTCTCGATCTCTTGACCTTGTGATCCGCCCGTCTCGGCCTCCCAAAGTGCTGGGATTATAGGCGTGAGCCACCGCGCCCGGCCCTCACTTTTTTTTTTTTTTTTTTTTTATCTGAGACAGAGTTTCGCTCTTGTTACCCAGGCTGGAGTGCAATGGCACAATCTTGGCTTACCGCAACCTCTGCCTCCTGGGTTCAGGCAATTCTCCTGCCTCAGCCTCCTGAGTAGCTGGGTTTACAGGCACGTGCCACCATGCCCAGCTAATTTTTTGTATTTTTAGTAGAGACGAGGTTTCACCATGTTGACCGGGATGCTCTCGATCTCTTGACCTCGTGATCCAGCCGCCTCGGCCTCCCAAAGTGCTGGGATTACAGGCTTGAGCCACCGCGCCCGGCCCTCTTTTTTTTTTTTTCTAATCTTAATTTTTGAAAATATATATTTTTTATTTTGAAATGGGGTCTTGCTCTGTTGTCCAGCCTGGTCTTTAACTCCTGGGCTCAAGCAGTCCACCTGCCTCACCTTCCCAAAGTGCTGGGATTACAGGCATGAGCCACTACACCTGGTCCTACTTAGCTTTTCAGATTACCACATTGATGTCTGTGTCTGTTGGGCATTATTTTTACTCTGGATTTTGCTCTTGTTGCCCATGCTAGAGTGCAATGGCGCAGTTTTGGCTCACTGCAACCTCTGCCTCCCAGGTTCAGGTGATTCTCCTGCCTCATCTTCCCAAGTAACTGGTATTATAGGCGCCCACCACTGCGCCTGGCTAATATTCTTGTATTTTTAATAGAAATGGGGTTTCACCATGTTAGCGGGGCTGGTCTCAAACTAACGACCTTAGGTGATCCACCTGCCTTGGCCTCCCAAAGTTCTGGGATCACAGGTGTGAGCTACCACACCCAGCCAAAAACCTCAGTGGAATTTCTTGAGGACTTTGCAATATAATTCTAAAGGTTTTCTGGAAGAATAAATCATCAAACAAAAATTTGAGAACTCCAGCCTGGGTGATAGAGAGACCCTGTCTCAAAATAAATAAAGAAAGATGTTCTTTTAATGTAACTTTTACAATAAAGACTGTCCAGTTTCATTCATTTGGGAGAGTAAGTGGAGACAGGCAGAAATGAAGCCAGGGCATGTTTTATAACTATCCATGCGCATTTGTTATAGCTGAAGTTTTCATTTAATAGTCCATTTTAGGAAAATTTGAATTAGCAGCTCTGTCACTATTTCTTTTCTCTTCTTTTCTTTGTTTTGCTTTGTTTTGTTTTTGAGATGTAGTCTGGCTCTTGTCACTCAGGCTGGAGTGCAGTGGTGCCATCTTGGCTCACTGCAACCTCTGCCTCCTGGGTTCAAGCGATTCTCCTGCCTCAGCCTCCCAGTAGCTGGGATTACAGGCACCTGCCACCACGCCCAGCTAATTTTTATATTTTTAGTAGAGATGGGATTTTACCACATTGATCAGGCTGGTCTCAAACTCCTGACTTCCCAAAGTGCTGGGATTACAGATGTGAGCCACCGTGCCCAGCCTCTATTTCTAACTTAGTAGAATTAATAACTGTTCCAATTTCTAGATAGTAGTAAATGTTTAACTTTGCTATTTGCATGCATTTTCAGTCCTCATCCCACATGATCTTTTCAGCAGCATTTATTGATCCCTCCTTTATCTTTTGTTCACTTTCCTTCATTTGCTTCCATGACACCAGACTCCTCCGCTGGTTTCCTGGCATACCATCCTGTATCTGACCACTGGATATTGGTGTTCTTTACATACGGCTCAGCCTTTAGCTCCTTTCTCACTCAGCACCCTACCCTGGGCGACTGCATTCACTTCTATGGCGATTTCCTACCTCACTGCAAATAAGCCACATATTTATATGTTCCTCCAACTCAGATTACTTTTCTTGACCTCTGATCTCACATATTTGAGAAACTTGGATGTCTGAAAAACATCTCAGACTTGCTATGAGATGAGACTTGCTGAAACTTGCTGTGTCCAAGACCAAACTCACACTCTATTTCCCTAATCCTGGTTCTCTGTTACTTATTTCAGTGAGTCTACCATTGCCCACCTTGTGATCCTTGATACTTGCTTCTCCACACTCACTAAAAAATGTCTGTCACTGTTTCCTGTTGACTGTCTCTCTGAGGTGCTTCTGAAGTCGTCTGCGTCTCTCCATCCCCGCTGCCGCCCTAACCTGTCATCATCTCTCACCTTGTCTGGAGAAGAGCTTCTCAGCGAGTCTGCTTAAAAAGCTTCACAGCCTGTTTGGTACTAATTTGATTTTAATTATGCCCCAAACCCTCTAAAATAGCACTTGGGGATAGAGGAGGTTAATGGATTTTAATTCTTCACAAGGGGCACTACCTAACTGCAATCACATCCATTCTAATTAGGGCTTTATATAAATTCTTCCCCCAGACTCCCATCAGTTTGCTCTAGTTCTAAGATTACGTACTTTCCATTTTTATTTATCATTACAAAGATTATTACCCATTTAAAAATGTCATTTGGCTTTCTGAGGGGATTTTGTTCTGTCCTATAAAGGACAGTAAAGAGTCTTTTGCATTCTATTAGAGTGCAAGTCTTTGGGTCTTGAGAATTAAGAAACTTTTTATGGCTGTGACAGATCTTTTATCTATTACCCTGGAGGTAAGTGTACTTTTTGATCTTTTTTTTATTTTACTTTTTAACTTTTTTATCTTTTAAATGAAATTGAAGTTGGAAGAGAGAGGCAGTTGTGTAAAAGTCAAGGATCTCGTCAATTTTTTTTCTACAGAGTTGAAAGTACAACTGAAATTTCCTTACGTGTGTATCTGACTTACTAGATTGGCTGGCAGGAGCTGAATAATTGTGGTTTCTGAGAGGACCTTGAGTATCCTTTTCCACCCCTTCGCTCACTACCCAACAACAGTCCAAGTCCCGTGCTTGTCCAGTAGCTTTGGGGCCAGGATACTCTAAGGCAGACGTGGTAGGCAACGCAGCATTCACTGACCATCGAAGAGCTTCAGTGTTGGACCGTCGTCTTTTCTGGCCTGTTCAGGATGCCTGATGAGGAAGCCAGATGATGAGCCTGGATTTCCTCTGGGTTAGGAATATCTAGCCTCTGCTTCTTCCTGCCAGATCCTTACGAGGTTAGACCAGAACTGGGATATTACAGATGAGAGCAGGCCTAGAGTAGCTGGTAGAGGCTGACTACTTTAGGCCTTTGGGAGAAACACTGGCTTTTCTTCTCTTAAATATACATTTTAGGATCTAATTGGCCAAGATAAATAGTCAATATTGAAAGAGAAAGAGAGAGAGAGAAAGAGAGAGAGACAGACAGAGAGACAGAAGAGAGACAGACAGACTTGCTCTGTCACCCAGGCTGGAGTGCAGTGATATGATCTCGGCTCACTGCAACCTCTGCCTCCTGGGTTCAAGCGATTCTCCTGCCTCAGCCTCCTGAGTAGCTGGGATTACAGGTGTAACCTACCACTATGCCCAGCTAATTTTTGTGTTTTTAGTAGAGACGGGGTTTCACCATGTTGGCCAGGTAGGTCTCGAACTCCTGACCTCAGGTGGTCCACCTGCCTTGGTTTTCCAAAGTGCTGGGATTATAGGTGTGAGCCACCATGTCCGGTCTGTAAAAGTAATATTCATGGTTAGTATATAGTCTAGGGCTAGGGGTTCTACATAGCTTAGTACCAAACCATAGTGGTCAAAGAGTGTTTTTTTTTCTTTTGCCTAGAATGTTTGCCTCTTGAATGCCTCCCCTGAAACTGTGATGGGGCTAGCCAATGACTCAGATGTCTTGGCTCCAAATCAAATATTTTTCCGTGTCTCCACATATAACAAATGAGTTCTTTAGGGCTGTGTTTTTTTTGTTTTTTGTTTTTTTTTCCCTTGTTTCTTTCAACTGACAACTTACAGACATTTGGGGAATTCAGCAGTTTAATATACTAAAAATTTTATACTCTACCTATTTTTTCCTGCTTTTGGAGAATGGAATGTATATTGATCTGTTTTAAGTTATTACTAAGGCATTTTAGCAAATAGCACGGATTTCTTTTACGAAAATTGAGTTTTGTATGAGATTTTAAATGAAGACTTTTTATAAAGTAAATCAACTGAGGTTTGGGCATTTTAGGTTAATTAGTCATGTATTCCTTGACCTCTGCTTATGTGTACTTTATTTTTTATACAACACACAAAGGAGCAAGGTTTCCATCCTTTAGGAAGTTTGAATCTAATTAGGAGGTAAGACTGACATACACGAAATGACTGGGGAACCAGTAGCTGTAATATGTATGAAATTGGATACCACCTTCTGATTTCTCTACCAAAAAATACAAAAATTAGCCAGGCATGGTGGCATGCACCTGTGGTTCCCGGTACACGGGAGGCTGAGGTGGGAGAATCACCTGAGCCCAGAAAGTTGAGGCTGCAGTGAGCTGTGCTCACACCACTGCACTGCAGCCTGGGTGACAGAGTGAGACCCTGTCTCCAAACAGAACTCCAAGAAGAATTGTGTTTTCATGATTATTCTGACCTTTCCCTCCGGTGTGTAGAATGTGTTTTGAATTTTCATTTCGCTAGGTACAGGGGCCTCCTGCATCTACCCGTTACTTGGAGCAACCTTGAATGGCTGGTATTTCCTTGCAACAGAAGTGGATGATATGTGTTTCAACTATGCAAAGAAAAATGTGGAACAGAATAACTTATCTGATCTCATAAAAGGTTAGTGCCACAGAATGAATACCTCCAAACTTTGTATTTTCTTTCACCTGCCTTTTTAATTTAACATATTTCATTACATTTTTCTTTAATATGCAGACTTTGGTAATTTTTTAAAATCTAGTACTTTGTCATTGGGTTTACTGTTTTGATGTGAGAATTAACTCAGAAAGAAAGTAGTAACTACAGTTGATTCTTATTATTTGTGGATTCTATATTTGTGAATTTGCCTACTTGCCGAAATTTATTTAGTTATGCATTCATTTATTTTAGTAGATTTTCTTGAATAAATGTTGCTTTATTTGCCTTAGAATCATTTCCAGAGACTTTAAGTGGTGGTTTTTTGTTTGTTTGTGTGTTTGTATACTTTAGAGTTTATTTTTTAGGACATTTTAGGTTCATAGCAAAATGGAGTGGAGGTTCGGAGATTTCCTGTATGTGCCCGCCTCCGCACATGCAGAGCCTTCTCCATTATCAACATTCCCCCAGAGTGGGATATTTGTTACAGGTGACGCGCTTGCACTGACACATCATTCTCACCCACAGTTCAGAGTTTACATTACGGTTTCCTCTTGGTGTTGTACATTCTATAGTTTTGGACAAATGAAACTGGCATGTATCTCCCAGTACGGTATACACAAGGTTGTTTCACAGACACAGGATCATTTCACTGCCCTCCCACCTTCTGGGCTTCAACTGTTCCTCTCTCACTGCCCTCAACCCCAGGAAACTACTGACCTTCGGACTCTCTCCATAGTTTTACATTGTTCAGAGTGTCATATAATTGGAGTCATACAGTATGTAGACTTTTCAGATTGGCCTCTTCTACTTAGTGACATTTATTTTTAAGTTTCCTAATGTCTTTTTATAGTTGGATAGCTTTTAAAAAAATTATTTTAATTTAATTTTTTTTGACTGCCTCTATAATTGCAGAAAGCTCATTTATTTTTAGCCCATTTCATTTTAATATTCCATTATCTGGGTATACCAGAATTTCCCCATTCACCTATTGAAGGATATCTTGATTGAGTCCAAGTTTTGACAACTACAAATAAAGTTGTGAGAAACTTCTGCATGTAGCTTTTTCTGTGCATGTAAGTTTTCAACTCCTTTAGGTAAATACCAGGGAGTGTGCTTGCTGCATGGTATAGTAACAGTATCTTTACTTTTGTAAGAAACCACCAAACTGTCTTCCAAAGAACTGTTTTATGCTCCTGCCAGCAATGGCTAAGAGTTCCTGTTGCCCACATCCTTGGCAGGACAGGGTGTCGTCGGTGTTCTGGATTTTGGCCATTCTCATAGGCGTGTAGTGGTATTTCATTAATTTGTATTTTCCTGACATTGATGTGGAGCATCTTTTCATGTGCTTGTTTACCATCTGTGTATCTTTTTTGTTGAGGTGTCTGTTCAGGCCTTTTGCCCATTTTTCAATCATGTTCATTTTCTCATGGTTGTTTTAAGAGTTCTTGTCTTTTTTGAGTAACTGTCCTTTATCAGCTATGTATTGCAAATATTTTATTGCAGTCTGTGACTTGTCTGTTCATTCTCTTGACGGTATCTTTAGTAGAGCAAAAATTAAATTTTTTCCTTTTTTAAAAAAATGGGCCGGGTGTGGTGGCTCAAGCCTGTAATCCCAGCACTTTGGGAGGCTGAGGCGGGTGGATCACGAGGTCAAGAGATCGAGACCATCCTGGTCAACATGGTGAAACCCCGTCTCTACTAAAAATACAAAAAAATTAGATGGGCATCGTGGCGCGTGCCTGTAATCCCAGCTACGCAGGAGGCTAAGGCAGGAGAATTGCCTGAACCCAGGAGGCGGAGGTTGCAGTGAGCCGAGATCGCGCCATTGCACTCCAGCCTGGGTAACGAGTGAAACTCCGTCTCAAAAAAAAAAAGATAGCCTAAAAAGTAAAAAAATTAATTTTAGTAAGAATATATATGTATGGAAAAAAAGCTGGTCTTATTAACATTAAATATATATGTGTGTGTGTGTGTGTGTGTGTGTGTGTGTGTGTGTGTATTTATATGAGGGTTCAAGTGATCTTTCCACCTCAGCCTCCTGAATAGCTGGTTCTATAGGCGTACAACACTATGCCCAGCTAATTTTTAAAAAATAGATATAGAGTCTTGCTTTGTTGCCCAGGCTGGTCTCAAACTCCTGTCCTCAAGCGATTGTCTTGTCTGGACCTCCCAGAGTGTTGGAATGATAGACATAAGCCACTGTGCCCACCAAGTCCAGCTTATTGAGTCCTTTTAAATAATCTTATATAATACCTTTGGTATTGTATCCAAAAAGTGCTGTAATCCCAGCATGCTGGGAGGCTGAGGCAGGCAGATCCTTGAGGTCAGGAGTTTGAGACCAGCCTGGCCAACATGACGAAACCCCATCTCTACTAAAAATACAAAAATTAGCCAGCTTGGTGGCGCATGCATGTAATCCCAGTGATACAGGAAGCTGAGGCACAAGAATCGCTTGAACCTGGGAGGCAGAGTTTGCAGTGAGCTGAGATCGCGCTACTGCACTCCAGCCTGGGAAACAGAGCAAGACTCTATGTTACTTTCTAGGAGTTTTATAGTCTTGCATTTGCATTTAGGTCTGTGATCCGCTTTGAGTTAGATTTTGTGAAGGATATAAGGTCTGTGTCTATATTCCTTTTTTTGCATGTGGATGTCTAAGTGATGTCATAGTATCAGTTCTTGAAAAGACTCTATCAATTCTGTTCCATTGATATATTCATTCACTAAAAACATACTGTTTTGATTACAGTAGCTTTGTAGTAAGTCTCAGAATTGAGTAATGTCAGTCTTTCAACTTGCCTCTTCTCTTTCAGTATTGTGTTGGCTATCCTGAGTCTTTTGTCTCTCCAAATAAACTTTAGAATCTGTTATCAGTAGCTAAAATGTATGTATGTATGTTTGTATGTATGAATGTATTTACTTATTTATTTTTAGAGACAGGGTCTCACTGTCGCCCAGGCTGGAGTGTAGTGGCTCTTGGCAGCCTCAGCCTTCTGTGTTCAGGTAATCATCCAACCCCAGCCTTCTGAGTAGCTGAAGGTGCTGGTGTGCACCTCTACGCCTGGCTAATTTTTGTATTTTTTGTGGAGGTGAGGTCTTGCCACGTTGCCTAGGCTGGTCTTGAACTCCTGGGCTCGAGCAATTCTCTGGCCTCAACCTCCCAAAGTGCTGGGATTACAGGCTTGAGCCACTGCCCCTAACCTAAAACTTATTTTTAACTCCAGAGTTGGCATTCATAGTACTTTTGTGGTCATTCACAGACATGTGCATCGTGGCAAATAACTGAAGTTGCCCAGCGCGCATGTTCCCAGCTGAGGCTCAGCAAGGTGATACTGTGCTTTCTTACTCCAGCTTCCGTGCTGTCAACCGAACATCCTTTTCTTGGTCTATTTAATGCCACATGTTTTGGCCCTTTTTTTCCCCTCTCATTTTTGTGCTTTTTCTTGGGGATTTTGCTGTTTAAATAGTCCCTAAACACAGTGCTGAAGGGCTGTCTTGTGTTCCTCAGTGCAAAGAGGCTGTGATGTGCCTTACAGAGAAAACAGGTGTTAGATAAGCCTGCTTCAGACACAAGTTGTACTGCTGTTGGCTGTGAGTTCAGTGTGAATGCATCAGCCATGGATATTAGATAAAGTATCTTTAAACAGGAACACCACAAAACAAGGTTGTGTGTCTGTCATTTGATGAAAATGTGATCAGAGACTTGTAGGAACCTAACCCTGTACTTCCACTGGAACCAGTGGTTCAGTATTCACTCACTGACTCTTTGTGGCTGCTTTGTAGAACATAACTAGCCCAGATAATGAGAACTGACTATACATGAAGTAACTTAGTCACCAAGATTTTAAAAGGAAGGAAATCCTACTGTTAATCAAACTATACCGTCTTTTTAATTTCTGTACATAGGCCAGGCACGGTGGCTCACGGCTACAATCCTAGCACTTTGAGAGGCTGAAGCAGACTGTCTGAGATCAGGAGTTTGAGACCAGCCTGACCAACATGGTGAAACCCCGCCTATACTCAAAATACAAAACTTAGTTAGCATGTTGGCTGGTGCCTGTAATCCCAGGTACTCGGGAGGCTGAGGCAGGATAATTGCTTGAACCCAGGAGGTGGAGGTTGCCATGAGATCGTACAACTGCATTCTATCCTGGTCTACAGAGCAAGACTCCACCTCCGAAACAAATAATAATGATTTAAGGACATAGAACTGTGCTAGAAACAGTCAAATACCCTTGTGATTAGTTATTTTTTATTTTTGTGACCATTCTGTGTATAAAGCAGTGTTAATTTTTTTCATTAAAGAGATTTTATATCTCTTTATGAAAGAAGTAAGACTTTTCTTCATAGTATTGAGCATCTTTATAAGGAGAGACATTAATATTATTAGTGCATTTGTTTTATTTCTCCATTGTTGTGTAACGAATTACTCCAAAATCTAGGAGCCTGTTTATTTATTTATATTTTTTATTTTTTAAGACGGATTCTTGCTCTGTCACCCAGGCTGGAGTGCAGTGGTGCAATCTCGGCTCCCTGCAACCTCTGTCTCCCAGGTTCAAGCGATTCTCCTGTCTCAGCCTCCTGAGTAGCCAGGATTACAGGTGCCCACCACCACATCCGGCTAATTTTTATAATCTCGTAGTAGAGACAGGGTTTCACCATGTTGGCCAGGCTGGTCTCGAACTCCTGATCTCAGGTCATCTACCTGCCTTGGGTTTCTGAAGTGTTGGAATTACAGGTGTGAGCCACCATGCCCAGCTGTAGGAACCTTATCATTATTATTATTATTATTAAATATTTTTTATTAGAGACAGGGTCTTACTCTCAGGCTAGAATGCAGTGATATCATCATGGCTCACTGCAACCTCAGCCTCCTGGGCTCAAGCAGTCTCTCACTTTAGCCTCCCAAGTGGCTGGGACTACAGGCTCGTACCACCACGCTCAGATAATTTTTTATTTTTAAAATTTTTGTTGAGATAGGTTCTTGCTAGGTTTCCCAGGAGAATCTGGAACTCCTGGTCTCAAGCAATTCTCCCATCTTGGCCTCCCATAGCACTGGGATTATAGGCATGAACCATCGCAGCTGACCCTAGCAACTTTAAACAATAAACATTTATCTCATCGTTTCTGTGGGTCATAAATTTCGGCATGGCTTAGTCTCGTGGTTCTAGTTTAGACTCTTTCATGAATTTGCAGTCAAGTTGTTGGCTGGAGCTGAAGGTTTTCTGAGAGTGACAGAGATTTGCTTCCTAGATGGCTTACTTATGGCTCACTCACATGACTCTTGGAAGGAAACCCTAGTTCATTGCCATGTGGATCTCTCCATGAAGCTACCTGAGTGTCCTTAAAGCACAGCCTGTTCTCAAGGGGAGGGAAATGAAATTCCATCTCCTGAAGGGAGTAATGTCTAAGAGTTTGAGGACGTACAGTAATGCATTGCTTAGCGGCAGAGATATATTCTGAGAAATGCATCATAAGGTGATTTCATCGTAGTGTGCACTTACACACACCTGAATGGCATAGCCTGCTATATACCCAGGCCTATATGTAACAGCCTGTGGCTCCCAGACTCCAAGCTGAACAGTGTGTTACTATATTGAACACCGAAGGCAATTTTAGCACAATGGTAAGTATTTGTGTATCTAAGCACATCACACTTAGAAAAGGTACAATAAAAATGTGGTCTTATAATCCTATGGGACCACCATCATATATGCAGTCCTTTGTTGACCAAAGCAGCATTATACAGTGCACGATTATACTTTAAAGCCACCACAACATTAATATTAGTTCACACTTCCTATTTTTTCTCCTAGTGGTGAAAGTGCCACAGAAGACGCTCCTGATGGATGCTCTGAAAGAAGAATCTGAGATCATCTATGACTTTTGCATGTGCAACCCTCCTTTTTTTGCCAATCAGTTGGAAGCCAAGGTAAAATTTCTTCTACTTTAAAATAATTTAGTATAGGCCAGGCACAGTGGCTTGCACTTGTAATCTCCACACTTTGGGAAGCCGAGGCAGGCAGATCCCAAGGTCAGGAGTTCGAGACCAGCCTGGCCGACATGGTGAAACCCTATCTCTACTAAAGATAGAAAAAATTAGCCAGACGTGGTGGTGTGCGCCTGTAATTCCAGCTACTCAGGAGGCTGAGGCAGGAGAATCACTTGAACCTGGGAGGTGGAGGTTGCAGTGAGCTGAGATTGTGCCAGTGCACTCCAGCCTGGGCGACAGAGTGAGACTCCATCTTTTAAAAAAATATCTAAATTTGCCTTATTTGCAGAGATAAGAGCAAATGAAACTTTAGAAAACTAATTTATTAATTTTTTAATTAACGTTTTTGAGATGGGGTCTTACTATGTTGCTCAAGCTGGTCTTAAGCATCTGGACTCAAGCAATCTCCCTCCCCTCAGCTTCCATAGTAGCTGAGATCATGGGCGCATGCTACCATGCCTGGCTTTGGAAAGCTGTGTCAGGGTGCTTTCGGTTTGAAGTATATTCGGCTCTCTGTGGATTCAGCCAGCCACTCATTGAAAGTATTTGGAGGCTGGTATGGTGGCTCACACTTGTAATCCCAGCACTTTGGGAAGCTGAGGCGGGCAGATAGCTTGAGCTCAGGAGTTCAAAACCAGCCTGGGCAACATGGCAAAACCGTCTCTACAAAAAATACAAAAAGAGCCGGCGCGGTGGCTCAAGCCTGTAATCCCAGCACTTTGGGAGGCCGAGGCGGGTGGATCACGAGGTCGAGAGATCGAGACCATCCTGGTCAACATGGTGAAACCCTGTCTCTACTGGAAATACAAAAAAAAAAATTAGCTGGGCATGGTGGCACGTGCCTGTAATCCCAGCTACTCAGGAGGCTGAGACAGGAGAATTGCCTGAACCCAGGAGGCGGAGGTTGTGGTGAGCCGAGATCGTGCCATTGCACTCCAGCCTGGGTAACAAGAGCGAAACTCCGTCTCAAAAAAAAAAAAAAAAAAAAAAAAAATGGCTGGGCGCGGTGGCTCAAGCCTGTAATCCCAGCACTTTGGGAGGCCGAGGTGGGTGGATCACTAGGTCAAGAGATCGAGACCATCCCGGTGAACATGGTGAAACCCCACCTCTACTAAAAATACAAAAAATTTAGCTGGGCATGGTGGCACGTGCCTGTAATCCCAGCTACTCAGGAGGCTGAGGCAGGAGAATTGCCTGAACCCAGGAGGCGGAGGTTGCGGTGAGCCGAGATCGTGCCATTGCACTCCAGCCTGGGTAACAAGAGCGAAACTCCGTCTCAAAAAAAAAAAAAAAAAAAAAAAGAATGAGCTGGGCGTTGTGGCGTATGCCTATAGACCCAGCTACTTGGGAGGCTGAGGTGGGAGGGTGACTTGAGCCCAGGAGGTGCAGCTTACATTGAGCCAAGATCCTGCCACTGCACTCCAGTCTGGGGAACAGAGCAAGACCCTGTCTCAAAAAAAAAAAAAAAAAAGACATTTGGGGGAAAAAAGAAAACAATAAAAATAACAATGTAACAGTAAAAAAAAAAAAAAAAGAAAAAAAAAGAAAAATACAGTATTACTATTTTTACATAGCATTCACATTGTATTAGCTATTATAACTAATCTAGGAATTATAAAGTATATGAGATGATGTGGACAGGTTAAATGCAGGTACTACCTGTGTTATAAAAAGGACTTGAGCTTCCTTGGATTTCGGTGTCTGAGGCAGGTCTTCCTGAGTACCGAGGGAGGACTGTACCTACAAACCCAATTTAGGTTGACTTAACAACAGAGAAAGTTGATTATTTGAGAAACCCAGCAGTAGTTGGGATTTCATGATTTGATTAAGGCGTTCGCAGTAAGAGCTCTTAAGAGCTCTGTTTTTCTCTTGGCTGTGACTTGTTCCATGGTTGTTTTTGTTTATAAGCTGGTTTACTTGTGGTACAGCAATATTCAGTGGGTGGGAGGGTGAGGAGAGAGCTCTTTTCTTCCCTAAACCATTGGACATTTGATTTTCTTCTCATTGGACCGACTTGGGTCATAGTCTACTCCTGGTCTCAGCTTCTTGGCTTAGGAAGGAAATCAGTGTTTTTACTGCTGCATGTCTTTTTTTGTTTTATGGTTTTTTTTTGAGACAGAGTCTTACTCTGTCACCCAGGCTGGAGTGCAGTGGCACCGTCTTGACTCACTGCAACTTCCGCCTCCTGAGTTGAAGCGATTCTCCTGCCTCAGCCTCCCAAGTAGCTGGGATCACAGGCACGTACCACCACATTCAGCTGATTTTTGTGTTCTTAATAGATACGGAGTTTTGCCGTGTTGGCCAGGCTGGTCTCAAACTCCTGACCTCAAGTGATCCACCTGCCTTGGCCTCTCAAAGTCCTGGGATTACAGGTGCGGGCAACCGTGCTTGGTCAACACTTATTTGTATATCTTATTTGGCAGAATGCTTTTTCATATCCTTTGCTCATTTTTAAGTTCGTTGGTTTTTCTTTTTATTATTAAGTTGTAAGACTTTTTTATATATCCCGCTTCCAGGTTCCTTGTTAGATAGCAATTTGCAGACATTTTCTTTCTTCCCTCCTGCGGGCTGTCCTCTCTCTTTCTTGGTGGTGCCCTTGGCAGCTCAGGAGTTTTTAGTTCGGATGAAGTCCAATTTCTCTGTTTTCTTTTGTTGCTTATGCTTTTGTTGTCATGCCTCAGAAACTGTTGCTTAATCCAAGGTCATAAAAATTTATGTTTTCTTCTAAGAGGTGTTTTTTTTTGTTTGTTTTTTGTTTTTTAAGATGGAGTTTTGCTCTCGTTACCCAGGCTGGAGTGCAATGGCGTGATCTCGGCTCACCGCAACCTCCGCCTCCTGGGTTCAGGCAATTCTGCCTCAGCCTCCTGAGTAGCTGGGATTACAGGCACGCACCACCATGCCCAGCTAATTTTTGTGTTTTTAGTAGAGACGGGGTTTCACCATGTTGACCAGGATGGTCTCGATCTCTTGACCTCGTGATCCACCTGCCTCAACCTCCCAAAGTGCTAGGATTACAGGCGTGAGCCACCGTGCCCGGCTTCTTCTAAGAGTTTTATAGTGTTAGCTTTTACTTTTAGGTATTTGATGCATTTTGAGTTAATTTTTCATATGGTATGAGATGAGGGTGGATTAAATATTTAAATGTAAAAAGCAAAACCATGAAAATGCTAGGAAAAAAACGTAAGTAAATATTTATTTAATCTTTGGGTGGATTTTCTGTACATGAAACCAAGACAGAAAGCATAAAGAAAAAGTGACAGATTGGGCTATCTGAACAGGCAAAAATTTTTTTTGTTTAATCACAAATATGGAAGGTAAAAGACCTGGGAAAAAGTAGCTGCATGAGGTCGTTGTTTAAAATAAAATATTGTAATGGCTATGTGATTTTAAAATCCTAAATCTAGCATACTACTTGGAAAGTCAAATTGCATCTCGCCATTCTAACTTAGGATGGATTACATTCAGACTCGGTTCTCTGGGTGTACACATTTTTCACTGGGGTTTTTTGTTGTTGTTCAGGGAGTAAACTCAAGAAATCCCCGAAGACCTCCACCTAGTTCTGTTAACACAGGCGGCATCACAGAGATCATGGCAGAAGGCGGTGAACTAGAGTTTGTTAAAAGGATCATCCATGACAGTCTACAACTGAAAAAAAGATTAAGGTAAGTCTGTTTTTAGAACATACAGTCTATTTTTACAACATAGGAATATTTACCCCCATGTCGTTCTTTTTTTTGTTTATTTGTTTGTCTGTCTGTCACCCAGGCTGGAGTGCAGTGGTGCAATCTCAGCTGACTGCAGCCTCTGCCTCCTGGGTTCAAGCTTTGCCCGTGCCTCAGCATCCTGAGTAGCTGGGATTACAGACACCCTCCACCTGTAATTTTTGTATTTCTAGTAGAGATGGGGGATTTCACCATGTTGGCTGGAATAGTCTGGAACTCCCAACCTCAGGTGATCCACCTGCCTCGACCTCCCAAAGACGCATGAGCCGCTGTGCCCGGCCTCCCCTATGTAGTTCCAAAACAAACCTTGTAACTCAGAGGAAAAGTAATCCTAGTGGTCAGAAGAACAAGCAGATAACCAACGTAGTGACTCCTACAATCTGCAAAGACCCTGTTTCTGAGGATGTTCTCATGCCTTTTATTGAATTGTGTTTACTGTAATCATGCATACTACATAGATGGAAAGAGGAAAATACCATATGATTGTATTGCTCCCATTAGTACGGTCCTGTGATGGAACAAAACGGATTCAAATATGGCTTTTGCTTAGAAAACAGATGGGTTCAGTTCTCTCCCATGAACCAGAATAAATTTGTTGCCTAGTCCTTGAAGCAATTTATGTTGTTGGAATCAGTCTCCCAAACAGTGACATATGTGAGGACATTGAGCTGTCAAGAACTTAATGAAGGGAAACTGAGATCACTAACCAGTTGCAGAGGAGGGTTAAGGCCATTCCTTTTTAAAGCTAATTATTTTGGACAACACACCTGTCATTAAGCAACATAAGGTACTCAGAAAGAGCTGTTTGTCTCGCTTGACTTCTCACCCTGCCACATGTTGTTGAAATGATGGATAATGTGGTACTTCAAAACTAAAAGAGCTTTCAACCCTAGGATTTAGCTTTGGGACATAGGGAAGATTTTGTTATTATTGTAGTAAATACACATAACATAAAATATACCATCTGTGTTAGCCCATTGTAATACTGCTATAAAGAAATACCTGAGACTGAGTAATTTGTAAAGAAAAGAGTTTTAATTGGCTCAGGGTTCCACAGGCTGTACAGGAAGCATGGCTGAGGAAGCCTTGGGAAACTTACAATCATGGCAGAAGGTGAGGGGGAAGCAGGCACATCATCACATGGCCAGAGGAGGAGGAAGAGAGAGAAGTGGGAGGTCTAGTGAGAACTCACTATCATGCGAACAGCAAGAAATCTGTCCTCACGATCCAGTCCTCTCCTCCCAGGGCCTTTCTCCAACAGTGGAGATTACAGATTGACATGAGATTTGGGCGGGGACACACATCTAAACCATATTGCCATCGAAATTTTTACAGTATAGTTTAGTAATGTTGATACATTCACATTGTTGTGCAGCTGATCTCCAGAGCTCTTCATTTTGCATAACTGTTACTCTGTACTCATTAACTCACTCCTCATTCTCTCCTTCACTCAGCCCCTGGCACCCGTCATTCTGCTGTCTGTCTCTATGAACTTGACTACTGTGGGTACCTCATACAAATGCAGTTGTACACTATTTGTCCTTTTATGACTGGCTTTTTTCACTTTTCATAATGTTTTCAAGGTTCATCCATGATGCCGCACGTTTCAGAATTTTCTTCCTTTTTAAGGCTGAGAATATTAAAATTACGTTGTTCATATCTACCACATTTTGTTTATCCATCCATCTGTTGATGGAAACTTAGGTTGCTTCTATCCTTTGGCTATTGTGCATAGCACTATATGAATGTGGGTGTATAGATACCTCCTAGAGACCCTGCTTTCAGTTCTTTGGATGTAGCCCCAGAAGTGGAATTCCTGGATAAGGAAGATTTTTTTCCTGTATGGTATTGTCCTCTTTTCTGTCTATGTAGTATAGATGATTGTAGGAAACAAAATCACTTAAAGACATAAGAAGGCCAGGCACGGTGGCTCATGCCTGTAATCCCAGCACTCTAGGAGGCTGAGGTGGGTGGATCATCTCAGGTCAGGAGTTGAAGACCAGCCTGGCCAACGTGGTGAAACCCCATTTCTAGTAAAACATACAAAAAAAAAAAAAAAGAGCTGGGCAGGGAGGCATGCATCTGTAATCCCAACTACTCAGGAGACTGAGGCAGGAAAATAGCTTGAAGCCAGGTGGCAGGGGTTGCAGGGAGCCGACATCATGCCGCAGCACTCATAGTTTGTTCCTAGTCTGCCTGTGTTTGGCTTTGTGGCAGCCTGCAAATTGAACGAAAGGGTGTCAGTTTGCCAGGAAGGCTACAATGCAAGGCTGCAGCTCATTGTGTCGCTGGAGATTTGGCCATTTTGCACTTGGTATCATATAGGGGAAACATTACCCTGTTATGATTTATTTAAAAACAAGTTTCGACTGTCTTCTCTGTTAGGATTCAGGTCAGTTGAGAGTGTAGATAAAAGAAAGGAAGAAATGAAGTCATTTTTATTGAAAAGAAAATAGTGTTTTGTGAAAGAGCATTGCTTGGAAATACTGTTTTCAATCACATCTTACCATGATTATTTACATTTGTACAATTACCAGTTCATGACCCCATGCATTTTTTTTTTTCTTGAGACAGAGTCTTGCTCTGTTGCCCAAACTGGAGTGTGGTGACATGATCTTGGCTCACTGTAACCTCTGCCTCCGGGTTCAAGCAATTCTCCCACCTCAGCCTCCTGAGTAGCTGGGATTACAGGCACGTGTCACCACACTCAGCTAATTTTTGTTTTTTAAGTAGAGATAGGGTTTCACCATCTTGTTCAGGCTGGTCTCGAACTCCTGACCTTGTGATCTGCCCAGCTTGGCCTCCCAAAGTGCTGGGATTACAGGCGTGAGCCACTGCGCCCAGACTCTCGTGCGTATTTTTATAGTTGACATCATAATGTTTATACCACTATGTGACTCACATTTCACAATGCTGTGAAAATTGTATATTTTGAACCTCTATAAGAGGCTATAAACAAGTACCTTAACCCTACCATCTGTTTCTTATCCCTCTAGACTGTTTCCTTCTTGTCCCTGAAGTAGTACAGGAGCTAAGCAGGATTTGCAGCTTGATGGGGTGAAACGAGTTAAATGTGTTGGGCTGACCTCAGGATGGTGCTTGTGGTGCCTAGCCTTCCTGAGAGGTTCGTGTCTCACCTCTGTCATGCTCAGCAGCAGTTACAGTTTTGTTTGTATCTTAAGGAATTTTGCAGCTGGAAAGACCTTGAGAGGTAAAGTTATCCAACCTCTTAGTTTATGGATTAGAAACTTAGAACTCAGATATCCTCATTCTGGTCCAGTGGCCTTTCCACCACCCCTTGCAGTGTCTGCAGCCCTGAGCTACAGTTGGACTGTGAACAGCCTTTCTGTCATTGGTGAAGATTTATAAGTGCTTGTCGCCCTTACTTTGACTTTTTGTGCCTGTGACTTGAGCTTACTTAATAGCTCTTTTTTCTCTCAAGTGACTCATCCAGGTTGGGCACAGTGGCTCCTGCCTGTCTTCCCAACACTTTGGGAGGCCTAGGCAGGTGGATCACTTGAGCCCAGGAGTTCAAGACCAGCTGGGGCAACATGGTGAGACCCCTTCTCTACAAATAATACAAAAGTTAACTGGGTTTAGTGGCATGTGTCTGTAGTCCCAGCTGTTCGGGAGGCTGAGGTGGGAGGATCGCTTGAGCCCAGGAGGTCGAGGCTACAGTGAGTTGAGATTGCACCATTGCACTACAGCTTGAATGACAGAATGAGACCCTATCTCAAGAAGAGAAAAAGGGACTCACCCATCTAAACTTCTAGATAAATTACCAGACTTTATCAAACTCATGGCCTGAAGTGTGTGTGTGTGTGTGTGTGTGTGTGTGTGTGTGTGTGTGTGAGAGAGAGAGAGAGAGAGAGAGAGAGAGAGAGAGAGAGAGACAGAGGGAGAGAGAGGGAGAGTCTTGTTCTGTCGCCTAGCCTGCAGTGAGGTGGACTGATCTTGTCTCACTGCAACCTCCACCTCCCAAGTTCAAGTGATTCTCCCGCATCAGCCTCCCAAGTTGCTGGGATTTCAAGTGTGCGCCCCCATGCGCAGCTAATTTTTATATTTTTAGTAGAGACAGAGTTTCACCATGTTGCCCAGGCTGGTCTTGAGCTCCTGAGCTCAAATGATTTACCTCCTCAGCCTCACAAAGTGCTGGGATTACAGGTGTGAGTCCCCGCACCTGGCCCTGAATTTTTTTTTTTTTTTAATTTCTTCACCACACCATAATTCTATGTTTTAGATTCTCTCTTGTCATTGGTTACTAGTTCTATAACTGATGTCCTTTATGGCAATGATTTTCGGATTTTTTTAGGAGCTAGAGATCTGTGTTCTACAACGCACCAATGTATCCCCTGCCAGATGATAGATACTGCTTGGATTTGAATATAATCTACATATTTGGGGATAGGTAATAAACTTTCATAATCTGGGCCTGGGCTGGGCACAGTTGCCATACCTGTAATCCCAGCACTTTGGGAGGCTTAGGCAGGAGGATCACTTGAGCCCAGGAGGTTGAGACCGGCCTGGGCAACATAGCAAGACCCCATCGCAACAAGAGCGAAACTCCATGTCAAAGAAAAGAAGAAGACACGAACTCTCAGTGTCAGAACCGAAAGAGGGGACATGCTACAGATTCTATAGACACTAAAGGGTGAGAAGAGAGTATAGAACAACTTTTTGCCAATAAATTTTGCATCATAGATGAAACAAATTTCTTCAAAAACACAAACTACCCAGGCGTACTCTTCAAGAAATAGATAACTTGAATAGCTCTTTTTTTGAGATAAGAGAGTCTTGCTCTGTTGCCCAAGGCCAGAGTGCAGTGGCACGATATTGGCTCACTGCCATCTCTGCCTCTCGGGTTGAAGCTCTTCTCCTGCCTCAACCTCCCAGATTAGCTGAGATTACATGTGTGTGTCACCATGCCCAGCTAATTTTGT